GGCAGCAACTTTACAACTTAAATGATGTCTTACATTAAAAGGAATTATACTAAACAGTTACACTCTCCAATTTTAATTAAAGATGGAATTATCCTAAAGCCAAATACCCAGTTGTTTGCGAGCACTTAATGCTAAACTGGAGTAGAATATGCACCACAAAACATGGTCATTAGAGAAAATCTGAACAGCTGAAAATTTCTGGTGAAGACAGAAAACAAAACAATGTCTCCTAGATGCAACAGCAGCACATGCAGTAAACAGCCTTGCAAGCTTCTCCTGAAAAGCAGCAAGGATGTGAGTGGAGTTCATTTATGCCTTCCCTCTTTGTGTAGGTGGTAAGCTACAGATTAACCTTCCTAACTCTTGCCTAAGGCCTTTGGCAGGTGGTGTTATTCTAATTTAATTGTAGTGGTTTAGGAGGTTATAGACTTTAACCCTATCCTTTCACCCTCTACCTAAGGTTTCTGCTTTTTTGGTAGTAGCAGCAAGAAGTCTGTGTGTACTAGCCTCTCAGATACGGCAGTTCATGACCTGACATAAAAACGTAATTGCCACCATTTTCAAGTAACACACAAGGCAGGATATGCACGCGGCTGTGAACTAAAGCATCTGACAACAGGCACACTCTCACTGCTATGGCAGTCTCAAGCTCTGGAAGCAGGGGTGGGAGCCTCTTCAACCTTCTGCAGCAGCAACTGGCAGAGCTTACTGCTGGAATCCCCAGCCTTTGGAAGAACAAAGCCAGAAACAGTAGCTGATAAACAAAGCCTTGAGTGCTCTGATCAGTACAAGGGTGAAAAAGGGTTCAGATGAAACAACTGTGAGGCAGGTCAGATGTAATTAATACAGCTTCTAAGGCATTGGATGCACTTTGCTATCAAGTCATACTCTCTTTGTTATCTTTCTAATGTGGCCTAACAGACACCAACACTTTATCAAGAATTCTGTTTCCTCTAAAAAAAACAAAACAGGGAAATGGAAAGAGAAATGAGAATGTGAAAAGTTTACAAAGGGCTTTTCATGTACAGCAGTCCTGTCCAGTAAAGCTGCTTTTTGGAGTTGGGCATGATATTACATATAGGAAGGAAAGGTTCATAGTTACCAAATTTTAGGTGTACATTATATCCTAATCAATTTATAAGAAAAATCATTAAATTCATGTTTTCACTAGATATCTCCTCAGATGACAACGCTGCCAGAAGGGAAACCAGAAAATTTTTAAAGCATAATGAGAGCAAGGAATATAAACCTTTTTGTTCATAAATGAATCCAATTTCATGCCTTCTCTTTTAAAACATAAACATCAAGTTAACACAACATCGTCACCTTAGTTTAGACTCCTAGATTTAAAATCTTATCTGCAGATATAAAAACCTTTGGTGGTATAAGTATCATGAATGTTTATTGAGTGTGATTAGAGGTGAGGATGATTTACATTTTTGAAAATTGTACAGTACTTTAAATGACTGGTCTTTTATCTTTAAAGAGCCTGCTAAAGATATTTCTTTACAACTCACATGAGGAAGCCTATAAGGGCTACATCCTCAAGAAGATTTTCAGGTTTGCGTCCCAAATTTATGTTCCTCAGCCTGGAATGGTGATCTTCAAAATTTCTAGCAGAGGCTGCATAATCCTGATCCTATAAAAAATTCGTAGGAATCTCATAATTCCTTGGTAGTGTATTTCCATGTGCCCAGAGACTGCTGCAGGGAATGCTTTGAAGTGTCTACTTTGATCCTTCTGAGAGACTGGGTGACAAGCGTGTCAAATCACAATAGAGCTTAAGAATCTAACTACATGAGAGGGTTCTGTGCTCTGAATTTTCATTCATGGAACATCCCTAAGTCATGGGAAGTAGTGCAATTTTATAAATACTCCTTTCAGCTGACTTTGCTATTGTCTTGGGGGTTTCCTTGGTTGGATTTGAACGGGATGGAATTCTCAGGAAACTTCACAATAGAAAATGAAAAAGTTGTCAAGGCAGTTTAGTTGTGGATTTTAGAGCGGTGAATAGTATGTAGGAATCTATCTTGCCCAGCCTCAGATAAGTGACTTAGGCCCTTTCTTGTTTAGTACTTCCATCTAATTAAAAAAGATGTGGAACTTCCTGAGGATTAAATGGTGTTTGGGTGGGCTCTGCTCTGAAACACCCCTGTGATTTCTCCAACCATACTGTGAACAATCCATAAATCCATAAATCTTTATGAACTTCTGTGGAAACAGTTTCCCTAGTCAGAATTCTCCACAAGTGCTTCTAAAAGGAGCATAGAAGAACCTATGAGACAAAACCCACCTACTACTTCTTAGAAGCACAGATAGAAAGAGAAGTCCTAGGAGGCAGCTCATAGAGGAGTACCATATCATATGGTGCTGTATAATACTTAGCAAGTAATACAGAGTTCTATTTCATACTTTAAAAAGATTGTAAGTATGAAGTAATGTTACTAGTATTCATTGTTTCATGGAAAATGAAAGAAAACCTTCTGAGGATTGAGAACTGACCTCCCTAAAAATAAGCTGGAAGCAAGAGGATGCATGGGAGAAAGTAAAGAAATGCCTAACTAGTAAATCTTTGATAATTCAGATATTGTTATTGGAATGGATAAGGGTGAAAAGACAAGTTGTTACACAAAACACCCAAGACATGACAACAAGACACCAGTTCTTTGTTCATGTACCATTTGTATGCAGTCTTATTCAGTTTGGGGGAGTTCTCAATTGCAGAGGCATGCCAGAAAGAATTGTAAAGGAGGAATATAGCCTTGTTATGGAAGGTAAAACAAAGTGTGAAACTGAACTGACATGAAAGACTGTTGATTTCTGCAGCATGGTGAAAAATGAAGGGACAGCTGATTTTATACAGTGGGATGGATTCAGGAGACACAATGAATTGCAAAACATCCTGAAAACCAAGTAAAAACTGGGAACAGAGAATTAGGGTAAATTTAGGTGAGAGGATGATAAGGGGTGATGCCCCAGATCAGATACAGAGGGAACATCAGTATATGCACCAGGAACTCAAAAAGTAAGGAAGTTAAGCATATATTCTACAGCTCTATAGCTCTGTATATTCAGATTACCTCCTCAGATAAATGGTGGTGACTTTGGGATGCAGGAAGTTCACACACAGATTTCCAAAGCACAGAACTAGCGAATTTACTAATCTGCTAAAGTAAACGAACCAACAGGAGCACAAACGCTTACACATAAACATATTTGTTTTCAGAAAGTAGCAAAATTTCAATCTGAAATATTATTCCATGTTTATTCTAGGTTTTTGATAATAGAATTTCTGATCTTTGTGCTCAAATGCCAGCTCAAAAAATAGTTCAAGCGAAAACCAAAGCAAGTCCACAGTTATCAGCTATGTATTTAAAGACAAATCTAGTAAAGGAAACTCAGGCATTTTGAATTTGTTTCAGCTGCTGAATGGAAAGAAAAAAAAAGGAGATGCATGCAGAACATAAATTTAGTCATGACGCCACTGTACGAACACTTTGTAAGCCTTAGCTAATTAGTCCATTCAAAATCCCTGCTGGGAAAACAAGTGATATTCTTCTGGTTTTACAAATGATAGATTGGAAGGAAAATGACACTACTTTAAATGTCTAGCCCAGACACATAGACATTCAGCATGGTGAAGTGTAATTAAAAGTTAAACAGTGGGTAATTCTTACTGCTGAGCTCAGACTATGCTTTTCTGCATAGCCCAAAACCTTAGCAATGCATTCAGGAGAGCAGTGGAGAGGGGAAGAAAGATATTCCACTGCAGATATTAAAAATGCATATGCAAAAAGGAAAAAAAACCCAAAGGGTAACCAAATCATTCACATTCATACAGATAAATTATTATTATTACTTGTTTAGAATTGAAAATGTGCTTGACTGCACATTATATTATCCAAATGTATTGTGAGAACTGATTATACAAAGAAATTAAGTTATTTCAGATTATGCAATGCAACCATTTTGACATCTCAGTAATGTCTATTTCTATACCAATACAAAGGAAACTGCAAGTTTGCATTACAGTGACATTTACTTCACAGCTGCATGAATAAAATTATTTCAAGCAGCAACCCTTATATAACCCCTTAGTGTAACTTTGATTTGCAGCACGATTTCCAGCAGCTCTCATTTTCACAATGCTTCAGAAGTCACCATGTATACATAGGATACCTTATTAGTAGCAGTAAATCAAGCATGACATCTCTCTTGAATATGCTAGGGTCACTCTTTAAGCTGTCAGTAGTCAGCTTTGCTCTATTATTTCAGTGAAACTCTCAGAGTGAGATTCATTCTGCCATCTGATGGTATAGTCTAATGATGACTACTGTTAGGAAAACGGATCAAAGCATATCACTAATAGCAAGCAACCTAGAAAATGGTTTGTACTCATTGGAGCAACACTTCGTTTCCTTTCATGCCCTTGGTTCCCATGAAGTGGAACTTTTCCAGCTCAGACACAGACTTGGTGAGGAAGTGCAGAGTAGAACTCTCCCTCTACTCTTACTGCTTAGTGTGGCATGAGATGCTCCCTTATCTTAGTACAGTGGGGGTTCCCATGGTGTTACAGCACCCTTTCCTTCTTTCCATTTTGATTAAAGACTACATTTCAAAATCTCACAAACCTTGCTGGTTGAAGTGATGCCCATGACAGCAGCAGATGCACAGTATTGTTGGCACATCAAGCAGCTTGGAATTTAACACTGTGAAATATATTCAGGTGCTAATCAGAAACTTCAGTGTTGCTGAAGTTCAGTTAAACTGACCTGTGACTGTGAGTAATTGGCTTTGTAATTTTAATTGGAATTGATAAGTCCAATTTTCTGGTCCTACTTCAATAAGTCAAAATTCACCCTAAAGTTACACAAATCTATTTTGTTTGATCTTTGTAAAAGCACAGAAAGAAAGACAAGAATATGGAAGTAATTTCTGAGTTGCCAGTGACAGATATTTTCTTTTGATTTCACACTTGCTGAAGGTAGAATATACCTTACCGTAGCTGTCATAAGCCTCTTCACTTGTTCCATGACCGTAGTCATAATATTCAGGCACACTGTAACAAATTCAGAAAGCCATGTCACTATTATCCTGGGTAACCAACTCAAAACAAAAACAGAGCGCAGCAAATGAAATGTATTTTAACTCTCTGACATGATAGTAAAGTCCAGTTTGTTTCAGGGATAGCAAGTGTTTAAAAACATGAAGGAAAATGTATCAGTGACAATAACGGTTATTATATAGTACATCTCATTTTTATCTAGTGAGCATAAAACAAATTTGATCCAAAATATGTAAACCTAGGAAATGTGACAAGGACTGAGAGAAATTCTATTTGCAAAAATAAGGTCTGCAAAAAGACCATCCACTGTATCATTCAGTATTGTTAAACTGCCAGAAGAGGTGCTAATCTCATTTACCTGTAATTCCAAACATTTATGTATTATCAAGCTCAGCACAGTTTGCTTTCACAAAGCTGACTGTATTGTACGGTGTGGAACCTGTAAACTACTTATATTTACCAAAAATACTGATAGCTTTGATCCTGAAGAAGAAAGCATGATTCCACTGCCTGTAGAAAGAAACCTGATTCTCCACAGCCTTTTTCCTTACAGTTATTGGATATCCATGGAAAGTTTTTATACAGTAATCAATAAAACACATATTGAAAGAAATGGGGTCAAGGACTGCAAAATCAGACTTATGAGTCTCAAACTCACTTTTTCATTGTTTTCAGAAATTATGTAAATAACATATTAAAACATTACCAAAATATCTTAGATAATAGTTACATCCTGATAATCAGCAATTCCCAGCTATTATGTGGAGTGGACATCCAGAAAATTCAATCTTTAAGACATAATTAAATGGAAATGGAATTATTCACACTTTCACTTTACTGCTATTATAATTTATAGTTTGCACTGTGGTTTTGGTACCTGATACCAAATTCAAGATCAGACTACTTTGGTTCTTGGGTACCAGGCAGACATAACAAGAATCAGTCTCTGCCCAGAAAAACTTGCAAACTCCATGAATTCTGCTACAATTGTACTTCTTTGATCTGCAGTGAACCAAAGAGAAAATGTGACACTTTCTCTGTGTTACTTTTCACTTGTTGTCACTTTTGCTTCTTTTTTCTTGGACACTGTGTGAGATAGACTCACAAAATGAACAGAACCAGGCAATCAGCTCAATATTGCATTAATTATAACATTATTGCTCAGGCCATTTTCCATATTGGATTACTATTTTAAAAATATTAGTTTACCCTTAAGAGAGAAGCTTAGTTGACAGTGGAGTGCAAGTAGAAATATTTCACAAGTGCAATAGAGATAAACATGCAATCTGTAACAATTATTTTCTTAAACTAATTTTGACTTCTTTGTTCACAAACAACCTGTAATCAGATTTTTAATTTCTTGAACTTAATAGCTATCTATATGATTCTTGGAATAATTTCTGAGAATAATTCATGCACTCTGTCTCACTTGAGACCACTGATTGTGTGCATCTGATAACTGACAGTCAAGCTGTTTTGAATTGTGTCTGGCTAGGCACAACTCTCACAGTCAGTTTTCAGCTACAAATATCTGTGGCGTTTTTTTGAACTGAAAATGCAACTATAATTGTTGTGCATTAATTTCGTTATTTAGCCAGAAGTCATTCATGTGAGTGAATGAATTATGCTGATGTCAGTATCTCAGAGAGGTGAAATCCATTTGCTACAGTAGTTGCAGAAGGTGGCCATACAAATGACATGCAAATAATACTTTTAAAGATTTTTCCCAAAGCCAACTGAGCTCTACAGAACACAATGACTGCAGAGCATTGACTTCCTGGATAATGAGAGCCATCTAGTTCCTTGAAAATTAATTATCCAAATTTATAAACCATCCTATTGAAATGGTGCAAGAAATATCTTCTATTTGTAGAACATAATAAGCATTCTGTATTATTTTGCAATGATTTTAGTAGCCTGTTAAATGAAATTACAGGATTATGTAAGGTGAACTAAAGCAGTGGCAGCATTAGGGTTAAATCATGTATCTAGTCATAAATACAAGGTTTATGGTTTAGACCTAAGAAATTACTTGCAATGTTCAAAACAGGGAGATGACCTACCACCCAGATCTGGCAGACAGATGTATGAAAAGTCTAATTTAAGAAGCTACATTTTGGCATACTGCCTGCTTTCCTGGGTAGAGAAGGGTGGTGGACTAGTGAGTGGTGTTAGAGGAGAAGGAACACAAGAACTCCCATCTTTTGCCAGCAGATAAGAAGTTATTTCTTCACAATACCTTTTTACAAACCAAAGCAGCTGCAACCAAAGGTCAGCTTTAAAAGGAGAGCATTTGGGACCCAGTCCAAAGGCCAGTAAATTATCAACAGCAGTGCTGCTTTCTGTAGTCACTGAGCAGGCCTTGAGCTGTTACCCATCAATGTAACATCCAGCAGAATGCAAGACTTGCAACAGCAGGTAAAAAATTAATTGCTACATTATTGTTGTTGTACATTTTTATTAGAGAAAAAACACACACAATAAGGATGTGAGATAAAAATCCTGCAGCGAACATTTGGAACCAAAATACATTATCAATAGAATACTAAGTTAATACACACACCATTATAAAATAAGAGGCATTGCAACTGTAGAAAGGAAGTAAGTTGTTATATACTGCATATTTGATGTCTGTGAGCACAATATTACATTCCTGAAAACACATAATTCATAGCACAATACATGATTGTCATTTAAGTTCTCCAACTTTATTTGCCTCAATAAGACATCTTTCTTACAGATTTGAGCCAAAATAGCATTTCAAATCCTCTGCCAACTCATATTAGAAAGTGTTTTGAAGAATACCTAAGTGAAGAAAACTTATTTCTTAGTATGAAATACCAGATTTAAACTCATATTTTGTGAGTCAGACTGCTTTTTTATCCATTAGTCTGCTCTATTTTAAACCTCTCTGAATATTCACTATAATCTATGACATGAATTTAGTTGTAAAAATTTTCCTCTGTTTTTTAGCAAAGTGAACAATGAGTGATGTTTATAAAAATATGTGATAGATTATGGCTTTACAAACATAAGGTTTTTTTTTTCATTCTTAAACTACAGAGAGATATAGTTCATTTGCATTATACCCAACTGAGAAGGAAACAATCAGGAAATACATTCAGCATAAATAAAACTTGTTTATATAATTTTATAGTTGTCAGACTGTTCTTGGAAAATACAATGATCATGAGCTCTAGAAACCTGTGACTCTCTTGGCAGTGCTAATTGGAAACAAAACACCATTATCTGTCATTAGCATTCATTACTTTCAAGCAACATAAAGTGTAATTTACTTAAGTACATGCATCCACCTGAAAGCAGGATGCAATACATTTTATAAAGCAGACAGGATTAACTCATTACCAACTTCTCAGCTTTTATGTGCACTGTACTTTAACATCAGGCTTCTGAAACAGAGATCTTGATATGCCATGACTTAGACTTGAGTAGCTTTCTATACATAGCACTTGTGGAAAAATTGATATACACATGGGCATGTATCTCAAAAGTAGTTTAACTGGCTTTGTATCTGAGAAGCTCTGATCTCTATCTACATCTCTATCTATATGAAACTTTTACAACAAAGATATATGACTCTGTCCTAATTCCTATTCTGTGTGCAAGATTAGTAATATGTATATGGTTAATCTTCATAACTGTAACCTATTTATGTTTATTAACTTTTTATTTTGGTTAATGTTTTTGAACCTGTTAATTTTAAAGACTTGGGATCAAAGTTTCTATAAGTTTGTGATCTCTTCTTCTCATGCTGATAAAGCCAGATCAGTTTAAAAAAAACAACAACAAAAAAACCCGACCAAAAAAACCAACACAAGATGTTCCTTATTTGAGAAATAAGGGTCCATTTAAGTGCATTCCAACCTGAATTACCTAGGGCTCCTATGATATGACAAATGTCCAAGTAGAGAGACTGTATCTAAATAGCAACCTTAAAAGCCAAGAGAGGCTTTTAACCTCTTGTTAACTGGTACTTTTTCAAATTGACATTAGTTAAAGGAAAAGCAAATTCCAGTTTGATTCTGTCAATACCCATAGGAAACCACACAGCTTTTTACTCAAAAGGCTGGACAGTGCTCTAAGGTGGTTTAGGCAGAGAACCACAAAGAAAAGAGTTAAGATTGAAGCCACAAAACTGTGACTCTTGGGTCAGCAAGTCACCCAGGTGAAGTGTGATGTTCACCACTCAGAGGTCAGTGGGGTTAGGTACAGAAAATCATGACAGTAATGAATAGACTGCATTAACCTTTGACCAATCCCTTCCTGCACCTGCAAGAAGCTGCTGGCAAAACACCCTGGGTTAGCAACGTTACCATCTGGTTCCCTGGCTGCTCTTACAGCTGCAGTAATATAAGGCAGCAGAACATCGCAAGAACGAAAGAATTCAAGTACTTCTTGTTCCCTCATGCTTTTTGATTGTGTGTGGGTTTTGTTTAGTTCTTCCTTTCTCTCCTTTTGTTCTTTGCTTTTACTTGGTGAAAGGTGCATGCAAGCTTTTATTCTCTAATTATAGAGCACAAAATGTGGTTGTAGACATACAATGGACTCTCTAAAGCCAAAGTAGAAAGGTACAAGAAAGGGTTCACCTGTTTTAAAAACTGCTAATATGTGAATCTGTACAGGAGAAGTATGTTCTGTAGTCTATCCTGATATATCCTAAAAAACTGAAAGCCTTTGATTAAGACCTGTTGATCTAGATTTAACATATATATTTTCCTGTAAAAACATTTTTTTTTCCTTTCCTAATGGTTGTATTTTTTAACTCAGAGAGTATATTTTAGTATAATACAGGAATCTTTTATTCGGAAATGTTTGGGAAAGATCTGGTCAATTTAGAAAAGAGCTTTTTGATCAACCTCGAAGTTATAACTCTGCCATTAGATCAGGCTTCTTTTGTGAAATAAATGAATTGGTCCAAACTAGAGATTCAGCTGATGCCAGTGAAGTTCTACAGTTCAGATTCATAACAAAAC